TTAAGAGTAGCTAATTGAAAGTTATATGAATAGTTTGTTATTTTTTGATTATTATTAATAAATAACCAAGTAACATTCTAATTAATATATAGTGTAATTGGAGTCCATTGTTTAAAGTGATTTTGTGATGATCAAAGAGCATAAATTTGTGCATAACAGATTGTATGAATACATTGCCTAATAGGCAATTCAATTAGAAAATCATCAAATTGAAGAGTGTATTTAGGGTTGTATATATTCTGAAAATTAAATTTTAAGAATGATGCAATGGAATGACTTTGAGCAAGTTAATTAGCAAGGTTATTATATTCATCATCTTGATGTGCATTACTTTGTGAAAAGTAACTTGTAATTTGTATAAGTTAATAAAATTGATTAAAATATACTATAATAAATAATATAGAATATTTGTAAATTGTAAGTCAAATAAGTCTTGGCTAGTGCTGTTATATTTAGAAATTACTGACTATGAATCTGTATAGATATGTACTATACAATTTCTTGGTGCTGTAATGAGTGCAGAAAGTATTGCAAATAGTTCAGCTTTAAATAAGCATAGCCAAAGTTTAATTTGTGCTTAAAAGGTATATTGGACTCTGTTATGTTAGATTTGAGCTCATCCAATTCTCATAAAGCATTAAAATGAACCTAACTATATTACTAAGTTATTTATATAAAATGAAAGTTCTAGTAGATTAGAATTGTAGTTAGCAATAGCTTGTAGAGTCTCTATTAAAAGGCAATTTTTAAAAAGTAATAGGATAGATAAAGTAGAAATTAAAATATTAATTGTTGTTGGAGTCTGAAGAGAGTGTCATATAGCAATAGAAAATAAGAGACCTAAGTAATTTGCATTAAGGTTAAGTACTTTGTCATGTGGTTTAATTCATCTAAGAAACTTAGTAGCTAAATTAATTAGAATTAAGATAGTATAATTTTTGCAATAAGTTGAAAATTTAAAAAGCAGTTTGTACATAGTCTGGAAGTTATTAGAGGTGTAGGATAAAGTTGAGTGAATTGGAATTCAATAGAATGACTTTAATATATAACTAGAATATAGCCACTTGGTATAGGCTATTGATATATTTTTTCTATAATAATTTGATTATTAAATGTAGTTATAATTCAAAATTTTAATTATATAAAGAAGTGTCCAGTTGTATAACTATAGTAGTTAGAGCTAGGAAGTTGAATGTAGTTGTAGAGTATTCTTGTATGTGCATAACTAATTACTAAATCTTCTAAGGTTACAAACCAAGTTGGTACTCTTCTTTTAAGCAATTTGTCTAATCATAGTGAAATATATTTTCAGTCAAGAAGACAAAAATTATCAAATAATGTTAGCTGCTTTAAAAACATAATATGGTGATATCTAAGTTGTTTTTTAAAGGTAGTATAATTAGAATAAAAAGATAGTATAAATTCAAGTGAAGTTGAGCCTGAAATAGTATATAGTATAAGGGATGAAGGATTGTGTAGAATAGACAACCCAAGATGTTTAAAAAGTTGAATAATTTTGAAATTAATAGAATATTTATTAGGGCCATCAATTATTAGATTTGGATACAATAGAATACTAATAGGAGACCAAAGGTTGTGTTGCAACTGTTGGAGTCTAGTATGAGTACTGATATCTAATAAATCTTGATTATTAAGACATTTGATATAATTTGAGATATGGTGTTATAACTGAATATCCTAAACATTATATAGTTGAAGGTGAAAAAAAGTAGAGGTAAGAATTGTCTAGCTAAGTTTAGCTTTGTATTTAATAAGTCTAATATAATGTAAAAGAATCTTTTTGCAAGTATTTTGGCTTAAAATCAAGTTTTGAAAATAATATTCAATTGTAGAAATAATGACAGTATTGATAATATAGTAGACTTGAACATTAGTAATTTGTTTAGTTTTAGCAATTTTAATAAGATGTAAAGATTCATTAATGATAAGTTATATTTGCTGAATATTTGTTATTAAGTATAATCTAACAACTTAAAAACTTAAAGGGTATATGAGGTGAATATAATAAAAGTGTATAATTATTAAAGATAATAGGATTGTAGTTAGGTGGTAGATTATTTGTAGTGAGAATAGATTTAGCTAAGCTAACTTAGATATTAGCTATGTTATAGAAAAACTCTACAATAGAGAGAATTTGTGAAAGTTCAGCTTGAGAAGATATTATCTATAAGGTGTTATCTATAAAAGCAAGAACAGAGTAGTTTGTATTAAGATAACTAAATGTTTTGTCTTTTAAATTTATAATCCAGGATATTTGAGATGTATATTCTGAAAATTGAGAATAAATATAGACAATTAAAGAGTCATAATAAATTCTCCAGAGTAAAGGAGTAATAGTTTCTTCTTGATTAATTCCATTTTGAACTGAATATAAAGAAGTGAGATCTAAGTTTATAATGACTTTGTTGTATTGATTAGTAAATATATTAATAATTGAGTTAATAATATTGTCTGGTAGTGAAAGACGAGAAAGAGATCATTGTAGTAAAATAATATTAACAGAGTTATATACTTTACTTATATCTTGAGATAGAAGCTATATGTCTTGATAGTTACAGTTTGTATCTTCAATAAGGTTATTAAAAATATAAATAGGTGTTGAAGTACTGTTGTCAGGTAGAGCAACATAGTTAAAGGAGGATAGAATAAGGTGTTAAGAAAAAACTAAACTAAGTCTATAAGTAAGAATTTTAGTATATATTTTATAGATATGCTCTACAAGGCTAATAGGCTGTATTAGATCTAAGTTGTTATCAAAAGTAGTATATTGAGGAATAGAAAAGATTCTTTTATGCTTTTATTGTTTAGATATTTGGCTAAAGATAAGACAATAATTAAACAAAGCAGTAAGTACTTGAGCACATGTTTGTCTATATGTTTGAGCATTCATAGTTTATGCCAGTTGGGTCACAAGCTTTGCTATTTGGCATTTTGGTAATTGTATTTAAGATTTCTTCTTAAGTAATTACTTCAGTAAGAGAGTTATATCAAGCAGGATCAATATGAGATTACAAAAATATATTGTTAATATTAAGTATTCTAGAATAATATTTCATTGATAAGTTTGTATGCTGTTCAGTTTTTAAAGTGTGTTTGAACTAGAGGTGCAGGCGAAACTCAAGGCATCAGAACATGCCATGTCATAACTAGTTATAACTAGTTATAACTTGCCGTTTTAAAATACGGCAAATTATATTTTGCATATGTACTGGATAATTATTGTATGGTGTTATAGTTGTAATCTAATTTTTGTGTTGTAACTGTCGTAACCTGATTTTTTTTATGTCGTAACTAGCGAATAAAATAATCAATACAATAAATACATATTTATCAAAGCACTACCATTTCGAGCTATAATTTTTATTTATATACATTTATTACAACAAGTATATATTATTAAAGTACATGTATTGTACATTATACATAAAATATATTTATATATCCAAATCATTCTCTTCACTAAAAACCCGAGCTACTATACTTGCAGGATTATAATTAGTATTTCCTGAACCCATTTGCTGTATAACATTATTTGTTATCATATTTTGTTCAAAAAATGAACTATTATTGCCAATAAATGCTGGACTTGAAAGGTTAACAATTTCCTCAATTAATAACTTGTCAGCATTTGTACTATCTATATTATCCGATTGTTCTAATTGTAAATCACAAGATTCAGAAATTGACTCAAATAATTCTTCGCTAAACTCTATATGACTGGTATTAACTGTCGATCCATTTACACTATCTCGCAAATCACATTCAGATAATTCTTTACCATAAAAAATTAATTTCTCCTTAATATTTGCATAGCAAAATGTACAAATCTTAGCAATTGCCTCTAAATGTAAAACGTTAAGTCTTGTTCATTGATCTTCAAATATCCATTTAAGCGTCGAAAAATTGTATTCACATACAGCCTAAGAAGGTGGTATCGAAAAAATTTTAATTGCAAGTTCCACCAATGCATCTTTCTGTGCATCGATGCTAAGCCACCACTTTAGCAGAGATTCTCTTTCCTTTTTAAATGTTTGTGTATATGGTTTTCTTTCCGTTTATAAGTGCATAGTTCTGTCAACAAATCTTCATACGAGGCTTCATCATAACCAAGGTTTTGCCACATCGTCGCTGCTGCTTCACAGATTTCATAAAATTGACACCATTTTAATCTCATTCCTAAATAAAATTATTTATTAACATTTAAATAAATAAATAAATAAAAATATTGTATATTTTACCTCGATATAACGAATGTAGATAATATGCTAGTTGATACAACGGTGCCGCAAATTCATTAAATCTTGAGTTGTATACTTTAATAGCTTTTGATTTGAATAAATTGGAATCAAAAAGTCGATTTATTGCAGTTGCTACCTTAATTAATACCATATAGCAATCTGCAATATCTTTAATAGGCTTTAGTATCACAGATATATAACGGCATTGATTAAAAAATTCGTGGTTTTGAATTAAATTAAAGACAACTTCATTAGAAATCGCCAATGCATAATTGTTAATAATCTAGTAATGAAATTTAATTAAGTTGTACACCAATTCGTGTTAAAAAAAAAAAAAAAAAAAAAAAAAAAAAAAAAAAAAAAATTAATAAGTTTATTAGTTACTCATTCGAATACTGGTTGAGCGCGAATTAAAGAATCTACGGTTTCATATAACGATCCCCATCTAGTTTTGCAATAGGTCTTAAGTTCGCCACCTCCTATATTCATCATAGCTAATCCATTTTTTAAAAGCCCATTTGCCATTGATGAATGGTGAAAAAAGTTTACTACTGTCCCGCATTGTTTAATAAGATCCTTGATTTCATTTGTTTTTACAAAATCCGATGCAATTAAATTAATCGCATGTGCGCCACAGCGTATATCTAATATGAAATTAAATTTTTCATTAATTAGTCGTCTTGCCCGCCTTATGTTAGAACCATGATCTGTAACGACAGCAGCGAACTTTTCAACTCCAATTTCATTTAAGACATTATTTATTTCCTCAGCTAAAAAATCGCCAGTTGTAGATTGCATAGAATAATCTTTAATTTGCAGCAAATGTTCTCTACGATTAGGAGTTGTAATAATATAATTGTAAAAGGATGAACCCGATGGAGTAGTTCATCTGTCAAGTGCTAAAAATTTAACAATTAATTAATATTTAAAAAAAAAAAAAAAAAAACTATATACGTACTTAATGTTAGATTTTTTTCTGATTCTAATTCATTATCGATTGCTTTTTCAACTTTAGCAATCTCTTCATCAAGAATGCGCTCAGAAAGAGTAAATCAGGATGGAGGATTATATTCACTATTTAATGTTTTAAACATATCAATAATGAATGGATTATTGATAGTTTCAAAGGGAAATCCAGCGCATGTCCAAGCCTTTAGAATAGATCGATCTATTTGCCGCTGCCTGTCTTCAGAAATTATCTCTGAATTTAATTGACTTGAGTTTAAATTATTATCAATTTTGCATTGTCGTTTAATTGTTTTTTCCTCTAATGATAAATTATTTCGCCAGAATTCTTTTATATCTTGTGAAACATTTTGGCATTCTCGTGCTAAATGTCGCTTAAGTGTTTGTGGCTTGCCACGGGCCCAATTACACGAACAATACTTACAACTTGCTGCATAGTGCCCATTACCTAAACATTCTCCTATATTAACATAATTCTAGACTTGGTCTGGTTTAGGTCCACCACAACATCTTTTCTTAGTTTGATTTAAAACATGAACATCTTCTGGTGAAACATTTTGATCATTAGAAATACTACTAGATCTTTGAAAAGGCTCATCACTTGGTAATTGCTGAATAGGAAGTTGGGAGCCAAAAATTTGTAAATCGGAATAAGAAGTAGGTATAAAGAACTGATCAATATTATAGTTTAATTCATATGTTTCAAATGTAGAAAGTTGTTCATGATTACTAATATCATTAAATACATTCATTGTAAAGTTCACTAAGAAATTTTTTATTTTTGTTTTACTATATTATTTAGCTATCGCTATGGTATGTTAATAATGATAATAGTTACTATTTTGAAAATTGGATATTTATCGTTATGGCAATTATCTAAATTACGGCATGTTATATATTTGATAATATAATTACGACATTAAATAACATTACACATCTGATAATAATTATGACACATTTGGGATCATATGATTTTGTTGTAACCATAACCGTAATTTGCCGAATGCCGTATAATTTATTGGGACGATTCACCTGCACCTCTAGTTTGAACATACTTTTTGATTTTGGATAGTTCTGTAATTAATTTATCTGGTAGCTTAATATTAAAAAAATATATAGGTGTATGATAATTGTTAAGAATACTGTTAATTGCTTGAGTTGAATATAAAACTAAAGTTTTACATCTTTTTTTAGTAGCTTCTTGAATTTGTTAATGAAGTAAAATTGAATTTTTCATATAATATACTTGGTATAGTTGTTTCCAAAACTATTAAGCATATTTAATCTATTTTTTTTTTTTTTTTTAGTTTTATTTTATTATTAAATTTTTTGAAATTGACAGATTAACTACTCCATCGTGT